GATGCAGGGATGATATACCCAGGATGTTGGGATGCAGGGATGATGTATCTCTGGGATGCAGGGATGATGTACCCAGGATGTTGGGATGCAGAGATGATGTGCCCAGGATGTTGGGATGCAGGGATGCTGTGCCCAGGATGTTGGGCACCAGCCTGGGCTCTGCTTCCCAACAACCAGCCCGTGCCGTGAAGCTGAAGGACACCCCGGTCCCCCCGGCCCCTCCCCTTGCCTGGGGGGGTCCCTTCACCTGCCCCGGCCCTGTGGGACACCCCAGGTCAGGGCCTGCACCCACGGGTGCCACAGAGCCCTCAGGACAGGGACACCCTGCAGCTGAGGGGTCGCGCCGGGACATCCCCATGGGTGCCGTCCCCACCCAGCACCGTGTGTGAGCAGCCCCGGGGATGCTGCTGTGCCAAAACCCCGCTGGTTCCTGGACAGACAAGAGAAAAAAAAAAAAGAAAAGAAAAAAATAATTAGGGTTTTTTATTTTTTTCCCTTTTCCGTAGTAGTCTCCACGTCCAAACTTCCTGAGAGCAGCTCCGGGCCCTCCCTCCGCTTCCGACGGCCGTGCTGCGCCATCCCGGCCGGCCGAGCCCACCGGCCAGGCCAGCCCCGCCTGGGGGCCACTGCAGCCCCACCCCGCCTGTCACCGCGGCCCCCGGGCAGGTGAGTGCCACCGTGCCCAGCCTGGGGCACCCTGGGGGCCGGAGGTGGGGCTGGGGGGGGGGGTTGCGCCGTGCCCTGAGGTGCTGCCGGAGCGGGAACAGCCCCCAGCACCGTGGGGGGCTTGGGAATGGTGCAGGTTCCAAGGTGAGGGGATGCGGGGGGGGGGAGAGGACGGCGGCGGACGGGGAGTGGGACAGTGCCGCGACACCCTGTGGTGACCCCAGTGCTGCCCCCGCCCCTGTCCCTGACTCACCCCCCTGCCCCCCTCACCCTCACCCAGCCCCATCCCTGCGGGTCCGCGATCCCGAAGGAAACGCGTCACCCCCCCCCGGGCTGTGGTGGAGGAAGAGATAACGGCTGGGGGGAGCCCAGCGCAGTGTCCCCTGCAGGGACAGGCCAGGGCCGGTCCCTGGTCCCCTGCCCTCACCCCACGTGCCCCCTCCACCCCCATCACCAGCGGCTGATGCTCCTCATCCCACCCGGGAGGTGCTCAGGGACAGCCGTGGGGAGGGAAGCGTCAGGTCTTGGGGGGGGGTCTCTCGCCGCTATGGCATCCATGGGGGGGCTCTTTCCCGCGGCTGGGCCCCCCAATGAGGAGCAGATGGGGCCCGCCAGCATGTTTTGATGATTCCTCACTTTTCCTGCCAGTATCTCCCAGTGGTTCCTGTTGTTCCCAGCAGTTCTGGGACCCCCCACCTCCCCCCATTGCTGGAGCAGAGGATGAGGCTGGCAGTGGGGCCACTGGGAGGGCTCGGGGT